ACTCTAAAAGGGTCGAATGGGTATGAGTTCATCCTGGTTGCGATAGATTACTTTACGAAGTGGGTCGAGGCCCAATCATATGCCGTGTTGAAGGCGTCACACATTACAAAATTTATTAGAAATAACATCATCTGCCGCTACGGGGTCCCAAACGAGATTAGTTCGGAATAACGGTTCCCACTTCAAGAAGGAAGTGATTGACTTGTTGGAGAAATACAACGTGGCTTTTCATAAGTCATCCACATACCGGCCGTAAACCAACGGAGCGGTCGAGGCCGCCAACAAGAATATCAAACACATACTGCAGAAGATGGTGGAAACCTACCGGATTGGCCAGATAAGCTACCATTTGCTCTGTGGGGCTACAGGACTTCAATTAGAACTTCTACCGGAGCGACTCCGTATTTATTGGTTTATGGGATGGAGGCCGTTCTACCTATCAAGATTGAGGTTCCGTCATTGCGAGTATTGGTTGAGTGTCAAATAGCAGAAGTAGATTGGCAGCAGAGCAGATTTGAGGAACTCATGCTCTTTGATGAGAGAAGACTGAAAGCACTGTACCATGTTCAAGGCTATCAGCGCAGAATTGCACGGGCTTTCAACAAGAGAGTTAAGTCCAGGAATCTAAAGGAAGGAGATTTGGTGCTCAAGGACAACCGAGCTCCCATCCACGACCCAAGGGGCAAGTTCAGACCCAATTAGACTGGTCCCTACATCATCAGACCTATCTGGTCAGGTGGAGCTGTGGTTCTGATGGACCTAGATGGCCTAGAATTTTCACAACCGATCAACATGGACAAGTTGAAGAAATATTACCCCTGAGAGGCTCGCTAGGCCGAAAACCCGAAAGGGCGACCTAGGCAAAAGTTAGAGCATAAAAAAATTGGAAAATATAAAAACTGAGCTCGCAAGGTTGAAAACCCACAAAGGGCAGCCTTGGCAAAAGTTAGAGCGTTAAAGGAGAGTGAAAATACTCGAGTGAACCTAAGCCTGAACTACGTAAGGCTTGATTCCCATCATCGAGATACGTAGGCAACTTCATCCTGAAGTTCAGCCATAAACTTTTCCTCGATCAACTTTGTCCATTTGATCATCTCAGTCATCTTTCTCTACCAGCATCCATTGGAATCTCCGGTGCAGTGCTTTTCAGACTAGGGGCAACTTTTCGTTGCCATGCAGTGCCACGGTACTCTTTAGACTAGGGGCAACTTTCCAATTGCAGGGATCTGGGGTTGTGCATCTCAGTGACAGATCTCAGGCGTGTCCAATTCTGATCCATATCGAAAATGGTTTTGAAACGTTTTAATAAAAGTTGACTTTGTTCAAATTAATCTTTCACAACTAAGACCATTTTTGGACCAAAGCGGAAAATTTTCAGTACCATAACCTTCAATTTCATTGATTTCAAAACAGAGTTCTCCTGCTCTTGCATACAATCGAAGTTGCTTTTTTATTACATTCATAAAGAAAACTTGGAAGTACTAATAAAGCAATAAATCCGGGGCATAGTCAAGTCAGGTGTCCCTGCGCCCCCTCCTAGAGCTGGTCGAAGCCTCTGATACCGAGCTGGGCCCAATCTGTGCCTCTTCATTAAGCCAATCCAAGCACTCGTCAGACAAAGTATAACTGAAAGTGGGAGCGGGGGCCAAGAGTTCTCTCGTCCTCCATGCCGTGGCATATCAGGCAAGCTGTGCACCTCGAACCGGGAATGAAGCCGGGTACTCTATCCCCTCTGGTGGATAAGTTTGATCATGACCGAACTGGCGTTGGAACCAGAACGGAAAGTAGAATACATAGTGAGTCAAACCAACCAACTGGATCCCAGTCTGCCGGAACATACTATAGCTCATTGTCGGGAGATTGAGCCAAGGGCAGTGCCAGGCGATGCGATCTGCAAACAAATTGCACATCCAGTTGAACCACCATCCCTCATCAAGGGCATCGACTAGGCGTTGTCGAAAGAAGTAGCCGCGAGCTGAGTAGGCTGGGCAAGAGTTCACAACCTGCAATTTATCCATCAACCATACCTGGGGAGGGATGAAAAATGAGAGAATAAAGAATAGAGAGATGTACGATGAGAGAAAAGTAAGACAAGGGTTTTGTGAGAAGAACTGAGCCTGAGGGCCGAGTGATGTGAGCAATACATATGTGAGATTGGGTGGGAAACATTACCTGCAGCAGTAGTGGACTCCCCGCAAATCTGGTCGCCTTTCGGCGATGGAAAGCATCCAAGCCCGTCAGCGTCTCAGCCAGTGTCATTGCAATACAACTCTTTCCATCCTTCAAGCCTTGAGCAACTTCAATCAGGCGAATGCTAGATCCACCAAAGCCCGACGCAAGCAGAAAGTGAGATAGCATACACAAGCAAAGGGCATGTTGTCGGAAACCTTGCCAACGATGGTCGCCACGGTCACCGGCACCAGAAAAGCGATAAATCAATCCGAGGATGTCTAGTTCCCCATTACAGATCAGAGATCGAGCGTCATGCGTGGTGAGTCCACACATCCGCCCTAAAGCTTAGGTGTGACCAAAGCAAAACTGAGGCAAGATCTCTTCATAACTTTCAGATTCCATCAAAGCTTGAAAATCTTCGAAAGTCGGACACACCTCTTGCCCGCCAAAGCTAAAGACATGTGTTACCGGGTTCCAAAACCTCGCCGCGGCATGGAGGAAGGGAAGGTGTAGCGGAGTACGGGTCAGCGTGAATAGTGCATTCAAGCCGAAGCCTCGGAAGTTCAACTTTTTCGAGCCGTCTAAAGAAGCAATCCAAGCTGTGAGATTTTCGACGAGAAACGCTTCCATTTTGGTGCAAAACTAAGATGAAATGAATGAGCCACGGAGCTAGGACCTTTAAAGGGGATAAGGCACTGTTCGGGGGGGACACGTGTCGAAACACTGGTGGTTTCTAAGCTAAATGGCCGGCCGGCCACCTTTTCTAGTAGGCCGGCCACCCCTCTCCCCTCAAATACAAAAAGCTGGTCGGCCAGCACCCAAAGGTGGTCGGCCATGCTGCAATCTGTGTCTTGGGTCCTGTTCTACCCTCTAGAAGGAAGTTCCTAGCATTTCCATGTATCGGGAGTGTTGAAGGCTCGAGTTTTCCTCAGTTTTGGATGCGTTCTGTCGCCCAGATCGTCTGAAATACACCTTATTTATCGAGTTGTTGTTAAGTCTTGCTTATCGAGTGTTTGTTTTGATTATCAAGTTATTGTTTTGCTTATCGAGTTGTTGTGTTGTCTGTTGAATCGTGTTTATCGATTTTTTGAGTTTTGTCGAGCTGTCAAGTTTTGTTTGTCAAGGTTGTTACTCCTTGTTTAATCAGTTTTGTTATGTTTTGCTTATCGAGTTGTAAACTTGCTGAGGTTTTGTTGTTTCTTAGTAAGTTAGGTTGTTTAGTTTGTCGTGTCGGTTCGCTACCTGACTTGGCAAATACACAATGCACATTTACCGTTCAAATATCATTTTTGTGCAAAATGACGCGATGCGATGCTGAGAATATAAAGTACAACACTTTTTTAAAAAGCTGTTTCATTCCATCACGCTTCTTTTGTTACAACATTTTACAACAAAGGTACAAGTTTTACAGAAAATAAAACTGCCTAATAATGTACAATGTGCTATAACTACTAGTAAAAAGGTAAATAAAGCAGGAAACAGCTGCACCAATGCTCTCAAGAGCAGGAATAAGAGGCCCTCTTCGTCCTCTTCTGCGGAACTGGCTCTGCACCACCGGCACCATCTGAGTCGGAACTGCCATCCTCGGGATCCTCCTCAGCCTCCTCTCTGCTCCCGGAACCAGGGTCAGAACCCTCCTCTCTGTCAGCAGATGTCTCTGACTGACGATCTGCAGCCTCCTCCTCATCCTCACCAGGCTCCTCCTCTACAATATGTGCTCTGCGTCTGCGGGATGACTCCCCTCTCCCGGCCCCGCGAGAAGGCCGAGATGGCCCGGCTCCCCGAGAAGGCCTGGATGGCCCGGTTTATGGCTGATATACTGGAGGCATCTGAAAATAAAAAGTGCAGTTTGAATACATTAGCTCAAATGTGTGTATCAGATACAGATGCAAGCAAACTACATGAAATGAGGATGCATGCAGATACAGTATATGAATGTGGTGTGTGTCAGATATGCTCTACACAGGCAACCTACCAATGCAGTGAAATGATCAAGTTCAGCATGTCATCGGAAGTATGATAAATGCGAGAAAATTAAAGAGTACCTGGACACCCATGATGGACAACTGTGCCTCTCTCCGTAACACCATGCCCTCGAGTGCGGCCATCATCCCGAGCATCTCATCCATATACTCGACCGGAGGCTGCAGATACAAATACAAAATATCAGTAGAGGAATGAATGTCCAAGTATCCGAGTGATAAATCAAAGCTATAAAGCATACCGGCGGCGAATCAGGATCTCTGACATATCTGTGGTCAGACATGGGAGGCTCTATCGGAATCGAGTAGGGAGTCCCGAATCGTCATCCCGTTAGCTCGGTCGACATATCTGGCCACCCAGGATGATTATGAGTCGGAGGAATTGGGGGAACCAATCCACCCCCACCTCTAGATGTACCAGCCCTGCTAGTGGAAGGGACGTCCGCGGCCCGAGCCCGGCCCGATGAGGGCATACCAACGGACCTCCTCGTCGGGGTACGGACTCCCGTCAGCGAAGGCATCAAGTATGTGTGACGATAAGTCACATACTCTCCCTGCTCCTGATGAAGAAACGCATCAGTACCCAACCTGGCGACGACAACACCCTGGGGATGAAGCCTATCAGCGGTCCACATGTCGTCTGGGGGTACTGAGGGAATGTCCTGAACGGGGTAGTCCCATGTCTGGTGCAAGAAGCGCTCCCCTAAAAACCAAGCCCTGCCAACCGGCCCCTCTAACAGGACCTTGTATCGAGAGGTACCCCAGGCTCCGGCAAACTGGAATCGGAGGTCACTACCCAAAGGCGCCCAAGGTTACCATATGATCTGCGGGTAACCAACGCATAAGCTAATCAGAAATCGTAAATGCGTAAGATAAATCAAAGATTGGAAACATGAAGAACTGAGAGTTCTGCAATACCTCTGATGGTCGTACTGTGTCAAAGTACTGCCGTAGATAGAGAAGAGACTCCCGAGGTCTCGGCCGGTATGGGCCCTCAAACACCAGTGAATAAGGGGTCATGGGAGGCATCGCCACCTCGAGCTCCAGGGCTAGTGTCGGGAAGTACGCATAGATCCATAGCTGTGGAAAACAGGGCAGTAGTCATTAGAATACAGAATGCTGAGCGCAAATTATAAATACAGAATGCTGAGGGCAGAGTACAGAGATACAAAATGTAAAGTGTACCGTGTGTGCAGTGTACAGAGAATAAAAGAAGAAGTGTAAATCAAAGGGGGCAGAAAGTACCTCCCAGGCTCTCCAATAACCGCCAGGTATGTTCCCCCGTCCGCGGGAGGTCGCGCTCATATAGCAATAAAGAGTGGCTAGGCTGGCGCCACCCCAGTCATACCGCCGGACCTGTGATAGGTCCACTAGGGCACTCAAGAGATAAAGTCCGACAGTGTTCCCCCTATCGGCGAACAGAGTAGTCCCGAAGAGGAACATCAAAAATCCGCGGGTATACTGGGCTACCTCCTCAGGAGTCTCAAGCTCCATCTCCACCCTTCGAAAATGGGAGGAAAACCAAGTATATCGGACCCTGCCCGAAGATCTGTCAACTGGCAGGCGAGCTCCCAACAAGTAGATCCAGGCGGCCTCCCACTGGCCCATGTCCTCATTATACGGGATCACCCAGCCTCCCATATCAAGGCCGGTAAATACGGCGAAGTCAAATGGGGTCATAGTCATGTCCCCAGTGGCAGAGAAATGAAAGGAGTTGGTGGTGTCCCACCATCTCTCCACTAAAGCACCCATCAGTGTCCTACTAGCCGGACAACAAGATATCCCGGAGCAGAAGGGCCCAAACCCTGCCAAGTCAACCAAATCCCGAACAGCCTCCGGAAGCTCAGCATACCACTCTCTGGCCGTAACAGAGCCATATCCTCGTGCTATACGGGAGGTCACCTGTATTCAGAATGAATACATACATTCAGTCTCAAAATGAAAGAAATGAGCTGTGTGCAAATGAAATGTATGAGCTGTGTGCAAACTAAAACAGATATAATGCAATGAGCTAAGTGCAAATCGAATATTTGGGCTGTGTGCTCAGATTTTAAAATTAGTGGGCTGCGTGTTCATCTCAAAGTTCGGGCTACGTGTTCGATGTCAAGTGTTTGGGCTGTGTGCTCAGATTTCAAAATCAGTGGGCTGCGTGTTCATCTCAAAGTTCGGGCTGCGTGTTCGACGTCAAGTGTTTGGGCTGTGTGCTCGGATTTCAAAATCAGTGGGCTGCTTGTTCATCTCAAAGTTTGGGCTGCTTGTTCGACGTCAAGTGTTTGGGCTGTGTGCTCAGATTTCAAAATCAATGGGCTACGTGTTCACCCTCAATCTGGGCTGTGTGTTCAGAAAGTCAAGTGTTTGGGCTGTGTGTTCAAATTTCAAAATTAGTGGGCTGCGTGTTCACCTTAATCTGGGCTGTGTGTTCAGAAATTCAAAGTTTGGGCTGCGTGTTCAACCTTCTGTCAAGTGTGTGTTGTGTGTGCACCCTCCATTCAAGCTGTGTGCTCGGAAATTCAGAGTTTGGGCTGTGTGTTCTACTCTCAACAAGTATGTGCTGCATGTTCACCTTCAACTTGGGCAACATGTTCAGAAATTCAGAGTTTGGGCTGTGTGTTCTACTCTCAACAAGTGTGTGCTGCGTGTTCACCTTCAACTTGGGCTGCGTATTCAGAAATTTAGAGTTTGGGCTGTGTGTTCTACTCTCAACAAGTGTGTGTTGCGTGTTCACCTTCAACTTGGGCTGAGTGTTCAACTGTCAACAAGTGTGTGCGCTATGTGTTCACCTTCAACTCATGGACTGTGTGTTCAAAAATTCAAGTGATTGAACTATGTGTTCAAGATGCAAACAGAATACAGTGTCATAGACTAAAGCATTCTAAACAAGCGGTGCACTCAAGAGAGCAGATATGCATAACAAGAGGCATGAAACGTACAAAAATGCGGAATACATTGCAGAAATGTAAAAAAGGTGAAGTAAATACCTCTCGTGCCTGATGGGAGAGGTGGGACTCCGGCTCCCGCAATAAAAGATCCCCGGGTGCTCGATCATCGAAATCGGTAAAATGGTAGAAAACTGCCTGGGGGAGCACATGTGTCAGAGGGTCGTACCTCTTGGGTATGAAGGGTCGAACCCTCAGAGGAAGAGCCATGATATCGGGATCATCCCCGGTGCCCGGAGGACCTCCACAGTGAGGGAAATGACCAGCCATTTCAGAAAATCTATAAAAAGGAGCAAAAATGAGCAAAATGAGTCAAAATTGGAAAAAGTCAACAAAAGTCAACTCTTGGGAAATGAAAAAGTCAACAAAAGTCAACCCCCGAGGAAATCTTCCAAATGTTAAGACAAACTTACCTCAAGTGGTGAAAATGAGAAAAGAAGCACCGAAATCAAAATTTAATCGGTCCAAAGTGACGAAAACTAAAAGATTTCGCGAAAACAACTTGCGTGGGGCGTTGTAAAATGCGTATAGAGCTCAGATCTGAAGAGGAAAATGGTCTAGGAAGGTAGAGAAGGTGTTTTCGGAGCTGGAGTTATGAGGAAAAATGCTTTGGCCGAATGGATTTAAAGAAAAGAGAGTGAAAGTACCAAAATGCCCACGGTTTTGGAAAAGTGGCCGGCCAGCCACCTTTTCGGGCGGGCCAGCCACCCCTCTCCCTCAAACCTGGTCGGTGGCCTCCCCCTGGGGAGAAAATTGTCCGGTGGTGTTCCCCAGGTGCCTACCAAGCTCTCTGCAAATTTTGGGGGGGATTGGAGTCCCTGGGACCTGAAAAAGTACAAGAGAAGTGCACTTTCCGTCGCGAAATCGCTCTACCGGAACTTCAACTTCAACTTTCGATGCATTTCTCATTGTTACTCGTCCAAATTAAGATGTATCCTTTTTGAACATGTTGCGACCCCTCTGGGAGGTAAACTAGAGGTCGCGATTGAGTCGCCCTCATCAAAAACTTGCATTTCTTTGCTCGTCGTTTTACGACAAATTCGCATTCGAGTTCACACTTGTTCTGCATTGTTATGCACGTCACTTGCATTCTCATGCACACCACTCATACTATTGCGCACATTTCACGGGTGTTGTCATACCCTCGTGCTTAACCCGCGTTGTCACGCACGTTACTCCTCGCATTGCGATGCACTTTTCTATCGACGCCGCGATTGTCAGCATTCAATATCGTTTTGAAAACATGTTGTTAACAATGTTGTGCTTGTTGAGTCTCTCTCTTTTCAGGGCATGATATTGTATGTACGGTTCATTTGAGGCTGGTGCGACCAGACGAACCGCGCAGGTATTGTATCTTCTCCGTGTGAGACGTGGTGAGAATTGAATAATTCTCTGCATTCTTAACTCCATGAAATGTAGTTGTTGCTTTGCATTCTTGCTTAAAACTGTTGCATCTATTGTGAATATGTGCTTCATTACAGCTTGCTGCATTTGCATGATTATTGAGATACCTTCAGCTTCTAGCATTGCCAGTTGCATTTTGCCCCTGCCTGCGGGCACGCCTGCGGGCGCATCCCTGTTTATCTCGCCTGTTTGTCTAAGTCTTCGGCCTTGCCAAAAATGGGTCGTCTCTGGGCTTTGACATTCACTCTCGTCACTTATGACTTCCGAGTTCTGTCAAAGAGGGGCAACTGTAGACACCCCATTTTTGACCGACCTTAAGACTCAGACGTCACCAGTTGCGTGCTCGGTGATATTGCATATCGTGCTCGTTAAGAAGTTTCAGAGTCTCGGCTACGAGCCTTGCCTCCGGACTTCTGGACTCTTTTGTTCCTTGCCTCAGTTTGCGAACCAGGCTCTGTTTTCTCTATTTTCTCTTCCCGAAGGGAGGGAGAGGTCTCGTAGATCATTTCTCAGTGGCCGTAGGCTACGTTTCGTGGTCGTGGGCCATTCTTTCCATTTGGAGCCCGGTCTCCGATTTTTGGCACACATCTTATTTACTACCTTTCGGGAGACACTGTGGCCCAAGAGACCAACTTCGTGGTCGAATGCCACCTCCGGTGCTTAACAGCCCATTTTCGAGGCCCCGGGCCGCGCGTTGAGGCCCCGGGCCGCGCGTTTTGGCCCCCGAACCTTCGTTTTGCATCGGTTTTGGTTCATTTTTGGTGGAGACCTTATTTTCATTGTTAGGAAGCTTGTAGGAGGGTGGGAGGCCAGCAATTGTTCTGAAAAGATAGCTTTATTTCTTTATCGCTCTCCGTCACCCGTTTTCCTCACTAAAAAGCTAATGTTGACCACCCCGGGGCCACTTTCTTTAGCCCTAAACCCCATATTTGTGTTGTACACACCTGGGAGGCCACCAATATGTATAGGTAGGCCAGTAATTGTCCTTGACCCTTTTGAACCCCTTTAAAAAGTTGGCTTTCCTCTCTTCTGGTTCACATTTTCCAGGTTTTGACCACATATTTGTGTTGTGCACACATGGGAGGCCACCTTTTTGGGGTGGCCGACCAGCAATTTGCATTGACCCTTTTGACCCCTGGCCAGCCGGCCATGGGAGGTGGCCGGCTGGCCACCTGAACCTTTTGAACCTGGCCGGCTATGATCCTCTCTTCGAGTGTATTCCAGCTGTACCTTCTGTTTCCCCCCAGATTTTGTATCCGGGGGGCTGCCTTTTGGGGGGGAAACTTGAATTGGTTTTCCCCCCATTTTCCTCCACTCCTCCCTCTATAAAACCAGACCCCCCAGCTCCATTTTTGAGGGTTACAAAATCCTTGTTTAGAGCCTTGCTTACATCGCTTCCTCTCCCTCTCTTCCAAGCCTCAAAACTCTAAAAGCCTTGCACCATTTACACACCAACCCATAGCACCACACCTCCATACTCCATTCCAGCAACTTGGAGGCCATTTGCAGAGGTTGGAAGCTCAGAAATTTGGTCCAAAAGCTGCTGGTTTATTGCTCTTCAAGGGTAAGCACACTTTTCCCTTAAACTAGTCTTTTCTTGCTTCATTTATAAGCCTTGCTTGAAAGCATTTTTGGGCTCCGACCCAAACTGTAAATAGTCATATTTTGTGCTCATCTCCATGTTTGATTGAGGGTCTTTCTCTGTTTGAGGTCTCCTCCTCACCCTTTGTGTTTAAACTCTCTTTTAGGCCTATTTTTGCATGATATTTTAGGCTTATTTGTGAGCTGTTTCGGACTTGGTCATAAACTGTGAAATATCTTGTTTTGATCCCCTCTTCAACTTTGTTGAAGGGCTCTCCTCTGTTTGAGGCCAGCAGATATCACTTGTCTCTTTATCCTTCTTTTAGGCCTTTTTCTTGCATGATATTTTAGGCCTACTTGTGATTATTTTCAAAGCTTGACATAAACTGTAAAGTACCATATTTTGATCCCCTCTTAAACTTTGTTGAAGGTCTCTTCACTGTTTGAGGTCAGCTTCTGTCCCTTGTCTCTATTCTCTCTTTTAGGGCCATTTTTGCATGATAGATTAGCCCTACTTGTGTTTGTTTTTGAGAGTTGTCATAAACTGAAAAATATCTTTTTTTAATCTCATCTTCAAGTTTGTTTAAGGTTCAATTTTTGTTTGAGGTCATATGCTTCTTTGTATGCTTGATTGTCTCCTATTTTGAGCCTTACACCTAAGCCCTTGTTGCATGCTTTGTTTGGCCTTCTAGCCACTGAAATCCAATGGATTTTCAGTGACTAAGACACTATTTTGAGCTTCCAAATCAGAGGGGGTGACCCCCTCTCACCTTGACTTGTTTGGTGGTCATTTTGGCCTTCCAAAGAGGCCATATCTTGCATGCTTTGTAGTCACTTTCTAGGGTCAATTTGGTAAATTTTGGGACTACCATATTTGATTTTCATAGTTTTTTATGCCATGCCAAATGTCCATCTTGCATGTGCTTAATGACTCCTTGCATGGCCCTCTAAAGTAACTCATCATTTTTGCATGCCATGGTTGCATATCATTGGTTATTTGGGCCTATTTTCACATATTTTATTCATTGATTTTTGCTGGTTTGGTGAAATTCCATGTGCATCCTATACTTGCCATGTAAACCATGTTTGCTAGCCAAAATTGCATGCTATTTTGTCCACCATGCTGGCATCTCTTGGCCATGCTTTGAACTGGAAATGTTCATGTTTTGGGACTTCCTGGGCTCTGTCTTCATGCTTCATGATCAAATAATGCATGCTTTGTATAGCTATAAGTCATTCTATGTGCCTAGTTTCGAGTTTCGGGTTTCATCTCATGCATCGGGTGCCATTTTTCCATGTTTCGGGGCCGTTTAGCATCATATTTCAATGCTGGAATTTGTGAGTTTGCATGCCATCTTGCATCCCTTGCCATGCCTTGTTAGAGTTACATGTTATGCGTTAGGTTCAGTCCTCGGTTTACGTGCATGCGTGCACGTATTTCGAGAGTCTCATTTTCACCTAATGGCTACTGATGTGAGTGTGGCTGAGGTCCACTCATGTTAGTGTAAGTCCATTATGCATTGTGCACACCATTTCATTTCATAGCATTGCGTATGCTAGGTTGTATGTTGGAGCATTGTGCATGCCTCGTTACATCGTGCATTGTGTATGCCATTTCATAGCATTGTGTATGCTAGGTTGCATGTTAGGGTTGCATTCACGTATATCATGCATATTGCATAGTGTTTGGGATAGGAGTTAGCCCAAGCACGGGAAACGAGGGACGTTTCGTACTCCGAGTGATGGAACGTGTCTCAATTTCCGGTCGCCGACACTCCGGATTATCCATGATGGAGTCTAGGCCTTGTTGTGTCCATATGTGCATTCATTTCATATTGAGTCATGCAATTCGACTTGTCGGCCATCATGTATCGAGATGCGTGATTGGTGGCACGAGGATTGAGGACTACACTCCCCGAAGAGTAGTCATGCATACATATGTGAAAATACTTTGCAATGCCCCTTTGTTGCTCTCTGTTGCCGCAAATCAGAAATCAGCAGCCTTCCGGAGCTTGGCACGCATTCCAAGAAAAATTGTAAACAGAGGCAAACCGGGGCATCGCATGGGATTTCCGCGCAAGGCAAATTCAAGCATACATCATTCATCATCCGGAACAGAGCTGAGGCGGTCCACGGATTTACGTGTAATTTATTGCTTTCCTAGATTAATGTGTTAATTAATTAGGATTTTGTATTTATTCGGGACTGTATTATTTATTCATTTGGGACTGTATTATTTATTCAGACTCTCTGCGCGAGGGCAATGTTTTAATAAGTGTGCGTGT